GGGAAAGGTCCGAAGTGAGCATCTTGTCGGCGGCCATCTTATGCGCCGACTGGCTTCCGTGAAACGATAAGGTTTAGCAAACGACCGAGTCGAAAGTGAGGGGTGGGAAAGGTCCAAAGTGAGCATCTTGTCGGTGGCCATCTTATGCGCCGACCGGCTTCCGAGAAATGGCGAGGTTTAGCAAATGACTGGGTCGAAAGTGAGGGGTGGGAAAGGTCCGAAGTGAGCATCTTGTCGGTGGCCATCTTGTGCTTCACTACCAGACGGTGACAGTCTGCCCTGGACTCTGGGAAGGGGGGCTTCCGAGAAATGGCAAGGTTTAGCAAACAACTGAGTCGAAAGTGTGGGGTGGGAAAGGTCCCAAGTGAGCATCTTGTGGGCGGCCATCGTAGGCTGCTTCAAGGTCACCCGGTGCCAATGGCCCTGTCCAGAGTTTGAATCCGAGGAGGACGACAAACCCTGACAGAGCGGGAGAGGGCCTCCATTGGCTGTGGAGGAAATTGGGGAAGGGGCAGAGCAAGGAAGAGGCAGAACAAGGAAGGAAGACCCAGGCCTGCCCTCTCTTCCTCCTAGGGCACGGAGAGAGGAACGGAGTAGAGAACAACATGGGTTGTGTAGCTTATGGGGGAGGAAAGGGCCCTGATTCCCTTCACTAGCAGTTAAGAAAGGACACCGAATTGCCTTCACTTGCTCAAACCCGATTGGTTGTGGAGGGCGGGATCCGCGATGCGGGGGGAGCAGTTAAGAAAGGGAAAAGTTGAACCCGGGGGGATTTTGGCGCGCGCAATCCTCAGTTCCGGCCCTCGGGTTACCGCCATACGGTTCTCGTCGAATGAGGCCTTTCTCGACAAAAGAGAAGCCGAGGACCATTTCTATTCCGAGGTGTTCAGCGCCGGCAGATCAGACACAGCATCCCCTTGTAGTATCCCACTTGTATCTACTCCGACTTCGGCTTCCCCTCCCCCCTGAAAATCACAAAGCTGACTCTCTTCGTCCCGGCAAAACCCAAAATATACGGCATTCCCCTTCCGCCAACGGCCTGGCCAACAGCGTGTCCTTAGGAGCCCGCGGACCTTACCTAGCTTGGAGAGTGGCCAACTCCGTATTTCCAAACACGGTGCTGACAAGGAAGGACCCAGCGCCGAGTCACCGAGAAGCCCCGACAGATCTTCCCTCAGCGACTACGAGCGAATCGTTTCCTGCAAAAGCCTCCTCCCCTTTTCCTCCTCTTTTACTCCCTCTGGGAGGGGCCGTTGAGCACCCACCTGTGTCATTACGCCCGAGTCGAGCCCGGTTCCCTGAACTGTTCCCTTCGTCTGGCAGCTCTGTGCATGCGCACCCTGGGAATCCGGCTCCGGCTGCTCCTCCTTCCCCACTTGATCTTGGACGCCGATGGCAGCTGATAACAACTGCCCCCCACCCCTCATCCAAACCTTACTCAACCCTCCAGGACCAGCCTGAGGTTCCTCGCCAACTTCCTCGCTTTCCGATTCTAGTACCTGGGATCCAGGAAGTGACAAGCTCACCTGCGTACGGGGCTCCGTTCCTCCGTTCCCAGCCTTGCGGTGGTTCAGGTGCTCGTCCGAGGCTGGCGGGGCCGTAGAGCCACACTTTCCCGAGTGACGCCATTATGCCGGGACCCAACGAGTTTGGCGAATCAGATGGTGATCCTTACACCCCTCGGTGGTATCCGATCCGGTTTGGACTGGTTCGGTCGTTCCGATGGCAGAAATTTGGACTGGTCCGGAGAACCGGCAAGTATTGCCTCTGGCTGGCCCCGCCCACCCGCCCTTCTCTCTCCTATATTCCCCTTTTTTTTTTTTTTAAGCTCAGTATGTTCTCCGAAGCGGTAGAGGAAAAAAAAAACAAAATTAGAAGCCCACCGCGGCTTAAAATGGCCGCCTTGGGAGAAATCCTCAGTGTAAACCCAAGGCCGGCTTGGACGTGGAGACGTTTCCACTCCTTCGGCCAATCTGGCCATATCGTTGACGTCAAGGGGGGTCGGCCACCTGCGGCTCCGGAGCCACCGGTGGCTCTTTCATCCCTCCCGGTTTGCCGCTCGGCTCCACAACGGATCAGATGTTTGGTTAGGGCAGGTTGAGAGAAAAAAAAAGGACGCCGCGCGGGGAGGAGACTCCAGAGGGGTGGGAACCGCAGAGTCCAGTCGGCTCCAGAAATTGAACCGAAGAGTCCACAATCTCAGGGTTGGGCCTCGCCCGGTGACAATGTCCGAAACGCTTGGGGTGGGGCGCGTGGACGGATCTCTGCGTTCGTCGGCGGGAAGCATCCCCCGAGACACAACTGCCTTACTTTGGAGGAAAGCACATGAAGGGACACCCCCCCCCCCAGAGAGAAGACGCCAAAGTGGTGGGGTAACTACTCCCACCAGAGGTGGTATCTCAGCCGGTTTGGACCGGTTCGGGCGGACCGGTAGTGAAAATTTGGACCAGTTTGTAGAACCAGCAAATACCACCTCTGACTGGCTCCACCCACCCGCCTCCACCCTTTCCCGTCCTATACTCCATTGATTTTTTTTTAGCTCGGCTATGTGATCTTTGAGTGCTCCATTTACGCGGGAAGTGATCTTTGAGTACTACGCGCACGCAGAAAGTGAGGTTTGAGTACTGCGCACATGCGGGAATTGATTTTGAGTGCTCCGCGCATAGGGAATGTGATCTTTGTGTGCTCCGCGCATGCTGGAAGTGATGTTTGAGAGCTGCGCACGCGGGAGAAGTGATCTTTGAGTGCCGAGTGCACGCGGGAAGTGGTTTTGAGGGCTCCGCGCACAGGGAATGTGATCTTTGAGTGCAGCGCGCAAGGGAGAAGTGATCTTTGTATGCTAGGCGCATGCGGAAAGTGATCTTTGTGTTCTCCGCGCACATAGAATATGATCTTTGTGTGCTCCGCGCATGCGGGAAGTGATTTTTAAACACTCCACGCACAGAGTATGTGATCTTTGTGTGCTCTGCGCATGTGGGAAGTGATCTTTGTGTGCTCCGCGCACGAAGGAAGTTATTTTAAGCGCTCCGCACACAGGGAATGTGATCTTTGAGTGGTCCCCACGGGCGGGAAGTGATTTTCACTGCTGCACCCTTGCACAAAGCATGCAGAACTGATAAGAGCGCTCAATTTGGAATCCCATCCTCCACTCCTTCCCCAAACTTTGGAAACAAGAAGGAGTAAGGATGGAGTCGAGTCGAGTCGAGTCCAGTACAACAGAAGTACAGAAGGGGTCCCTGTTTGCTAGGGTTAGGGATCTTCTGCCCTCGCCGCGAGTTGGATCGTGCCGCGGAGGCGCCCGCCGGGAGGCTCAGCCAACCTCACGGTACACCTGTTGTAGTCGGACACTAAACGTTTGAAAAGAGAATATGCTTTATTGCCCAAGTTGCAATCGGACGCCCAAAGAAATCGGTGTGAAATCGATGCTCTCAGTGTACATACAAGCGATAAACAACTAAAGGACCCCAGTCGTCCAATACAATTGTGGTTAAGAGACAACCCTCCCGCGCTACTCTGAGGCTACTCCAAGGAGCCATCGGCTCCTACAAGGATACTAAATAAAGCAATATATATGGTAAGACACAAGCCATAGAATGATAGGCGTCAGAAGGTAAGGCGATCGGTAGTAGGCAAGGCGAGGAGAATTTATAGACTTGGAGTAGGGATACAACCTCACTACGGTAGCCCCCTCACCAAAACTGGACACAGAGAATAATCGTGATCACAATGGCCAGTACGACGCCAAAAACCGCGATGATCTTTCCCTTTGACACCCATTTCGGACAACCCCGGGATTCGGAGGCCAACATTTCCTCAAATGTTTCAGGACAGCCCCGGGATCCGGAGGCCGACATTTCTTCGCCCGTTTGGCTCTGGTTCAGGAACGCTAGGAGCTGCGCGTCCTGGATGGTGCACAGTTTGTACAACCCGCCGGCGTAGTATCGCCCCCGGTTCGCCGCAACGACGCCCTGCACCATTGCCATCAGCTCCGCGACCTGCCTCTCTCGCTCGTCGCCCTGGGCCCGGTTGTTGAACCCGCAGAAGCGGTTCCCGCACTGCCTGATCAGTCGCCGCAGACTCCAGTTGTCGGATTGCCGGACGTACTCCTGAAGCGGGTTCCCGGCCAAATCCTCCACGCAGGTGAAGAGGACGATGGTGTGCTTGGCCGAGCGGGCCCCAAAGATCTCCCGGACCCGCTGAACGGCGGCGTCATCTTTGTCGATGAAGCGCCCCACCTGGGTGACCAAAATCAGGGCATGGGGGCCGGGCCGGGAGAGCTCGGCGCACGCCGCGATCTCCCGCCGCATGCCCACATTGTAGGTTTTGCGGTGGAAAAGGTCGGGAGTGTCGACGACGGAGATCTTCCGGTCCTGCCACGTCCCCTCTCCTTTCTGGCACCGCAGGGTGGTGGCCTTTCCTTCCAGGAGGGACTTGAAGGCCTCCCGGCCGAGGATGGTGTTCCCCGTGGCGCTTTTCCCGCCGCCGGATTTCCCCACGAGGATCAGCCGGAGTTCCGCCTCTTCCTCCGGAACTTCACAAGACGTTACAAAAAGGAAAAGAGAGAGAGAGAGAGAGAGAGAGAGAGAGAAAGACATTTGTCATACTCCACATCGTGGTAAGGACTGAAGAGCTGAGCAGTTGCTACAAGGTTGCAAGAGTGAGAAACGAGTCAGTAAGTTTTTGGGGGGATGATATCACTTTAAGAGCCTGTAAATAAAAAGAGTGACACCCCCCCTCCCCGCGGGCTTCCAACGCACAAGCGATTCCGTGCATCCCGGCATACAACACACCACCCCGGGCCATTGGGGTTAGTCGAGAGAACAAACCGTTGATGATCAGCTGCAGGCAGAACCAACGAGCGAGGAACGGGATCGCATGCCGGGACGGGGAGGGGGGAGGGGGCCGGGGGCGGTCCCAGTCGAGGGTTCGGCCCAACCGGTCGGGTGCGAACTGGTCCCGACTGGTAAAACTGCTTCCGTGGGCGGCTCTGCATTTCCCACCCACCTCCGTCCGAAAAATGGACGCCGTCCGAGAACGGACGCCATCTGAAGTGGATCTCGGCGAGGCTTAAAAACCGGGCGCTTTGTGGACGGACGGGAACCGTCGGTGGGCGGCCGGGACCCCCAGGGAGGGAGGGAGGGAGAGAGCAAAGGGGGGGGGAAGGGTCTCCACAGAGGTCCTCAAGCCCACCCCCCCCATTTTCTCTCTCGGTGGGTCTGTCCCGCCTGGGAGACCCACTCGGCGCGGCTCTTCGGAACGGGAATCCACTGGCTCTCCAAGCGGGTTGACCCCCCCCACCCTCACCAACCCCTCCCGAAGACCCTCCCCAGCCCAGCCCCTCCCCCAATCCCAGGCGTGACCACTCCGCACTTACTCAGTAGGCATTCCTCTTCCGCGGATCCCTGGAGGAGCGGAGAAAACGGAGAAAACACGGGTCAGACGGGGCTCGCTCGCCCACTCGCGATCTGTGGCGGGCTTGGCGTGTCAGCTGCCTTCCCCCCCTCCCCACTGCCCAAATAAAAACCTGGTCCCACCACCGTGCCCCCTCCCCCGATTCAAGATATGGAGCCCGCTATCCCAGCTAAGACACGCAAAGACACACGAAAGACACGCAAAGACACACGAAAGACACACAAAGATATGAAAGACACGCAAAGACACATGACGACACGCAGACACATGATGACACGCAAAGACACATGACGACACGCAGACACATGACGACACACAAAGACACATGAAAGACCCGCAAAGACACACGAAAGACACGCAAAGACACACGAAAGACACGCAAAGACACATGAAAGACACGCAAAGACACATGAAAGACATGCAAAGAAACCAAAGACATGCAAAGACACACGAAAGACACACGAAAGACACATGAAAGACACATGAAAGACACGCAAAGACACACAAGACACGCAAAGAAACGAAAGACACGCAAAGACACACGAAAGACACGCAGACACACGAAAGATATGCAAAGACACATGAAAGACACGCAAAGAAACAAAAGACACGCAAAGACACACGAAAGATACACAAAGAAATAAGACACCAAAGACACACAAAAGACACACGAAAGACACGCAAAAACAAAAGACACAGAAAGACACAGGAAAGACACGAAAGACATGGAAAGACACACGAAAGACATGCAAAGAAACACAAAAGACACACAAAAGACACGCAAAGACACGAAAATCACGCACACACGAAAGACACGCAAAGACACACGACAACACGCAGACACACGACGACAGGCAAAGACACACGAAAGACACGCAAAGACACACGAAAGACATGCAAAGACACACGAAAGACACGCAAAGAAATGAAAGACACGCAAAGACACACGAAAGACACAGAAAGACACACGAAAGACACAAGAAAGACACACGAAAGACATGCAAAGACACACGAAAGACACGGAAAGACACATGAAAGACACACGAAAGACATGCAAAGACACACGAAAGACACACAAAGACACATGAAAGACACACAAAAGACACACAACGACACGAAAGACATGCAAAGGCACACGAAATACACATGAAAGACATGCAAAGACACATGAAATACACATGAAAGACACGCAAAGACACGAAAGACACAGACACTCGAAAGACACGAAAGACACGCAAAGACACACGAAAGACACATGAAAGATACACAAAGACACAAAAGACACGCAAAGACACACGAAACACATGAAAGACACGCAAAGACACATGAAATACACATGAAAGACACGCA